GTTTTAATTTGAGAGAACTCAGAAGGAGGCGAAAGTAGGTTAGCGATAGCGTTAGCCATAATTGTAAGATTAAGAAGCAGAGAGAGCTGCAGAGTATGAGTACGCAGTAGTAGCTGCCCCACAGCTCTGGTTTCTCCGTCCATTGGTGGCCAACCCACCGTCCACATCCGGAAGTGGAAAAGCAAGTGTGAACTTCGGAAATAAATCAAAATCTAATTTTTTTTTTTTTTTTGGATAAATTGAAATGTGGGCTCAAACAACAATTGGGCCTAAGGCACTGTAGTGGGCCTTAGTGAGCCCAGTTACCTTGTAACATTTTACTAATAAAATTTCAAGCCTCATTTTGTATTTGCAATTGGCGCTCTTTGACTTCTTACCCATACAGTATGATAAATTGTGTTACCTTACCACATAATAATTGCTTGAAGTACTCAATTTTATATTAATGTTTTTCAGAGGATTAAACAGACCGACACCCATCTTATTCCATAACAAATTATCTATAAGTAAAAGAAAAAAAAGTGTCTTTCTCTGTAAAGTTCTGATCGAGTTACCATTTAAATGTATTTTTCTTTTATTCTACAAGAGATCAGACTATTCTTACTTAGAAAGGAAAATTGATGGTTATAAGTGAACAATTAATTAAGAAAATACGTATGAAACACAATAAATGTATTGCTTCAACTGGTTAAGAGAAAAAAGGTAATTGAGAATTTGATTAGACCGAACTACAAGTAGTTCTCTAATGCAAAGTGCAAAAGGGAGGCTTGGAAGCTAACATTCTATTTAACCTCGAGTCAATGAATAAACTTTCCTTCTAAAAAACTAGTGAAGATAATACTACTCAAGTCCAAGATTTAGACTAAGATTTTGAAATATGAATTTAGTACAGCTTAGTGGTCTCGACTCTTTAGGAGGACACCAATTTAAAATTGCTTAAAGTCAACATGTTTAACTTTGAGAATAATTTTTTTTAGCCTTACCCTTCCTCTGGGTGTCACAACTTCTCCATTATTGGTGCAGATAAGGGCTTTGGGATATTCAAAACCAAGGTTTGGTTATGGTAATAATTTAAAGGTCCTATGTATATATCTTATTATTCCAACCACTCCTTCAATATATTTGATAGATCAGAATCCGTGCATATATTATTCTTTTTAATCTATTTTTCAAACCCAGTTGACCTTTTTGGGTTTGATCGATGTTCATGAATGGCAACCAAATATCTCCATTCGCTACATCCATGAGGTCAAACTCTGTGACAACATATATCCTTCCCTTTTTCCTTGGCTACGTATAATACCTTAATTAAAAATACAGTGGACTTTGAAAGTGTTTTTATTATTAACTAAATTCTTTAATAATTTTGTAATATTGACGAAAATTAATGTGTTTTGAATCAGATTGGTCTTTAGATATATATATAAATTTCGTTGTTCACAAAATTTCGAAAGAGAGATTTGATATATTTGACTTTAAATTTTCGTATATTACAACTTAGTCGTGCTATGGCGCTTATAATTATAAATAAATAATATATATATATATATAACAAACACTAATTGATTTCTAATTTTTGTTGTTTGACTTGACAATTTTAATCGTAATGAAAACCAAAAGTCAAGGCAGTAGTGGTTAGATTTTTTTTTATTTAAGCGTATTATTTTCATAAAGAAAAGTTTAGAAAATTGGTCGTATATGTTTACCATGGTAAATACGCATGAAACTTAATTCGAATATATTTAAATAATCTATGCATTTTTATATATAAAGTGCTTGGTTTGGTCACCAAATTTGGAAGATAATCAAACGCGGAAATGGTTTGACAATTGTTGGTTACTCCTCACTTTAGAAGCTGAGATTTTGGCATCAACTGTCATTATATTCACTTTGGCATTAATGATTTAGTATATAGTGTTTTAATTTTTAATGAATTATATATATATATATGTTATTCCTGTGTAATTTTGGGAATCATTGACAATATATAGTTTGGAGTAAACTTTCTTTAAAAAGATTTCATGTAATTTAGTAAATTAAACTTCAAAATATATACAATTTCTTTGTTCCATCCCACCATTTAATGCGAGCAAATTAAATAATAATAACCAAGGTCCACAAACTAATTAATATGTTGAACTTGAACGTATAAATAAACTATTCATATTTGTTCAATCTCAAACAAACAACTCCGGGGTAAATACTTAATTTTTTTAATCAAATTAACAAGGGCACGTTGGATAACGATTTCTACTTTTTGTTTTTGATTTTTTTGTTTTTAAAAAGTAAAAATCATACAGATTTGATAATATTTATTTTTTTGTTTTTTTACTTTTAGAAAACAAAAAACCAAACATGTTTGATAACCGTTTTTTGTTTTATGTTTTTAATAAGGAAGAGATTTGAATAGATATGCAGGAAGAGGAAAAATCTATACAAAGTAAATATGATAATAGGATGGGACGTGATTCGGATACCCTCCTCACCTCGTCCTTGTAGAGATTTTAATTCTCATCTCCGCCCAATTCTCCAATTTCATAAATTGAGATCCAAGTGGAGGAATCCTCATTTCGAGATGAAGATATTCGTGGAAAAAATTATTGGTTTAGTATTTAATTTTAATTATTTATATAATTTAAAAAATAAGAAAGAGTAATAAATACATATAAATTATATCTAATTAATGAATATTATTATTTACTAGTATAAAAAAAAGTTTTTTAAGTATTTAATATTTTATTCCTAATTTAGTAAAAATATAGTTAATAAAAGATATATTTATTATTTAAAAAATGGAATTGGGGATGGGCCAGGGCATGCATGGTGGGAAATGAATTTCTTGTTCTTCGAGTATGTACCCAATCCTACGGGGATTTTTGTCTTTCTAATGTACAGACATTAAAAATAAAAGGTTAGAGAGATAAACATAAACTTTTTAAAGAGAAATTTAAGGGAGATTAAATTTAGAAAGATAAATAAAAAGATTTAGAAAAGAAAAATTTAGAGAAAAAATTAGTGAGAGAAAGGTTAATACAAAAGGACAAAATTTCAAAGAAAAATGAATAAAGTTAGGAGAAAAAAAAGTTAGAGAAAAAAAATAAAATTAGAAAAAGAAAGAAGAATTATAGTGACAAAACATTTTAGACAACAAAAAAAATATAAAAAATTTAGATATGTTTGTAGGGAAAATAGATAAATACAAAGAGGAAGAAAATTGAAATATAAAAAAGTTAGATAGAAAAAAAATTGAGATATATTTTCTGGATAAAGAAATAGATTCAAAAGAGGGAAAATATAAAATACAAAATTTAAGAAAGAGAAGAATGAGAGTGATAGGTTAGAAAAAAAATAAAAAATATACAGAGATTAAAATTTTTTAGAGAAAGAAAAAGAATGGTAAACAATACGTGGGTTTGAGAGCCTAAGAAATATCTTGAGGTCATAGATTCAAGTCATATGTAACGCAATCCGCCATATGTACTATATGGGAAGAGTGCGCATCCCTGCAGTTTTTTAGTTTTTGAAATTTACTTAGAATTTTTAAAACGTATCTTAATTAGAATAGAAAATCTGAATTGTCAAACTATTTTTTTTTTTTTTGAAACAAAAATAAAACGAAATGGTCATGAAGTAGTCTCCAAATTATTCATCTTACAATATAGTAATTAGGGATTGATTATCTTTAATATAATAATTGCCATGGAATGTAAAAGTCATGTAATTAGCCAATTAAAGACTTGTTGACTACAATTTGATAATTAACGAGAAAATAATTTCTTAACTCTTTTAGTTCTTGAACGACGAATTAAATACTAAGTCTCTCTTCTCGGGTTGGTAGGGCAACAGAGAAACTAAATATAACTGGGTTTGTTTTGATGCGGTGTGTTTGGACATGGATTTACAATAACCAAAGCCTAATTAGTCAACTTTTAATTAGCTTAAGAATTAAAAGTTAGGCCAATTATACATTATAATGCCACCAAATATTCCACATTTCAATTGGTTTATAAATTATTGTTGTTTCTCTCCATCTCTCACTTTAATTTTATTTGATGCTCATCCTGATCTTATCTAAAGGACAACTTTATTAATTAACTAAAATTCTTAAAATTATTATTAGATGGGTCTAATTTGGTGATGAAACCGAAAGGATCAAGTAATTTGCCATGGGATTCTGCGTTTGGAGAGAAAGACAAGCAGAAGGATGCTGATTGCGTCTAATTAAAGATCTCACTCAGTTTGGTAAACTTAATTATATAAAATAATTGAAAGAGTGAGTGGGTTTTATTAGGAATTAATTTCGTGTTTTTTTTTTGTTGGTTTTCGTCTTGTAAACTTCTACGTGGGTGTGGTTCCTTTGGGTGCCTTCCTCGCTTTGCTTCTATATTTCTTAATTCCAAAAGTCATCCATACAATAATTTTTATTTTATCAAACTAATCAAAGGGAAAACAAAGGTCAATGTGAGGCGTCATCCTTTTCAAAGCTTTTCAATATTAATTATGCCTTTGCCCTTCTTCCTCTCTCTTTAATCGAATGACAAATCGCAACTATAATAACTTAATTTAATGGTGTATATATTCTGCCAAGAGAGAAAGAGGGAAACGTACGTGGACCAATGAAGTTGGAGATGGGAATAAAAGGGTTTATCTGATAATTTTAGACGACAAGGGCTTAGCCTAGCTTAGGATAAGAAAACAAATCATTGGTTCAAAAAAGTACGTGAGAAACATATAATAGAGGAGGCTAAGTGAAAGTGTTTCAGTTAAGAGAAATGATGCAAATATCATAATTACAAAAGAATGTCGATTTTGAAGACCAAGCGGAAGCAGTAATTTTGATATCATCTCATACAGTCATTGATCCGAAAGTTTTTTAGAAGACACACTTGTTTCTCTCCAACCAAATAAACTATAGAATAGAGTTAAAACTATTGCACCAGAGCATATTTCTACTCATGGAGAGAGATATGTTATGTTGATAAATTCCAAAATGAAATATTCAATTCTAGCACGAAACACCATAGAGATATTGAAGAAACTTCTCATTGCAGAGAATGAGAATAGAAGAGTTTGGGCTTAAGCACATAGATGGATATACCTCGCCTGCAATCTATCATGAGTATTTACGCCTATGTGAAACAAAGAAAAAATTTGCATTTTTCTTGGAATTAGAAGATTTTGTTAGGGTTGTGCTTTAATTTTTAAGTTAGCACTCAAGTTTGTTCTTAGAGATGACACAATATTAAGCACTTTGAGTCTTAAGTTCTCAAGCACTTTGGTCACAATGTTGCTCAACAAACAGCAACAAACAGTATCGAATCCGAGAAATCAAAAGAGGAGGAAAAAAAAAGCCCAGATTGTGGCTGCCCATTATCACCCAGCTGTTAGCTCAAATGCATGTGAAACAAGTACAAGTTTCCCTCGCAACTGAAATCAAATTTAATCAACTTTCCCGTATGATGTCGCTGCAGAATGATAGAAGAAACTTTCTTTTAAAATATACGGAATATGGTACCATTTCCCACACCAAGGACTCATAATAAGATGGAACATTTTCGAGGACAATGGCGACAAACGGACAGGATGGAGGAGCTTCTATTACACCTCCCCATCGTTAAATTAATAGATTTCAAAAAGCAAAGGTAAGTTTTTTATTTGTGCCGTGGCCAGTTGCTTGAATTGTTAAACATTCATGACCGAACTAATCCAAAAAGGAAGAGAGAGAGACACACAGATTAATGACACTCAACAAATTATATGGGGGTTAATTTAGGGTTGTAAAGGGGAGAGGTTGAGTGGAAGAAGACTTTTTTGTACCAAAAACATAAAAATAAACAAATAGATCAGAGACAGAGAGATTTTTGCCACTTTTTTCAACCTATAAAGCCAGGGTCTTCTTCCTCATTCTTTCCCAAACAAAACCCTACGAATCAATTAGAAGCTTGAATTGAGAAGACTGCAAGATGGGTCGAGCTCCATGCTGTGATAAAGCCAATGTCAAGAAAGGGCCATGGTCACCTGAAGAAGATGCCAAGCTAAAAGCATATATTGAAGAGCATGGAACTGGAGGAAATTGGATTGCCCTTCCTCAAAAAATTGGTATTATGAACTCTCAGGTTTAGTTCTTTCTCTCTTAAGTTCATTTTTAGGATCCTAAAGAGTATTGTTTGCTTCTGTGGGTGAAAAATAAAAGGACTGAAGAGATGTGGAAAGAGCTGCAGACTGAGGTGGTTGAATTATCTGAGACCTAATATCAAGCATGGTGGATTCTCCGAGGAAGAAGACAACATCATCTGTAACCTCTACATAAGCATTGGCAGCAGGTTGTTATTTTTATTTCGCTCTCTCACAAACTTCGACCTAATCTACACAACTTTCCAGTAACATCTCGTATTTCAAATCTTTTCTAGAAGAGAGAACTAATTCGTTAAGATATATGAGAAACAAACATAAAAATGAGCCTTAGAGAGCGGCGCTCCAATTTAAGGAAAATCTTGTATTTCAAGTCTTCTTTCTCTAAATTTGGCACAAAATTTTACATTATAATTCTTTATTATTATACAGATAAATTTTGAATTAGCTAGCCATGTTACTAGATTTGGAATTGGATTTGTCCTTTTTCTTTGTCCTATGATTCTCTACGGACTACAACATGGCTTCTCTTCCCAATCTTACATTTTACAGTTTTAGGTTTTTGTTTTTTCGTAGGTTTTCTCTTGTTTCTTTCCTTTTTGTCAGAGGCTAATTGTCCTGGCATTCTGTTTGTACCTTTTAAGGTGGTCTGTAATTGCTGCCCAGCTGCCAGGAAGAACTGATAACGACATAAAAAACTACTGGAATACAAGGCTCAAGAAGAAATTGCTTGGAAAACGCAAACAATCAAGTAGCAACAATTATAATACTGGCCTATCCCCTTCATCAAGCAGTAGTGAAGACCCAAAAGAGGCCTTAAGCAACTCAGCCCTAGAAAGGCTTCAACTTCATATGCAACTTCAGGGCCTTCAGAACCCACTCTCCTTCTACACCCACCATCAGTTATGGCCCAAACTCCACCCCATACAAGAAAAATTTATCCAAACCCTCCAATCTCTGAACCATCAAAACCCTAATTTCCTTAACCCTAATCTCCAAGATACTCAATTGTTATTACCAGGCCAAGCAGTACCCAAGGCCGCAGCTGCTGATTTCTTTCAGCCACAATCCAATACCATTTCTGTCTCACTTCCACAAGACTACGAGATCCCAAGTTCAGATCAAACCTCTGGAGAGCACCATGAGGTTCCAAACTTTGCACAAGTTGATGACTTTCTTAACGAAAAGGCTGAGGGTAATTTCATGGCACAGCCTGAACAAATGGCTGAATTTGATTGCTTTAAGGAAGTGGGTGGTTCGAAGGATGGCTTGGTTTGGTGGTCTCAGAATGAGCATGATTTGAGACCCGCTTCATCCTCTAACTCATGGGACTCCAGTTCTGTGCTTCAATCGGAGTTGATGTTCCAAGATTATGAGTTAGGGTACAATCTTTAGTTAAGGGCAGGGTTTTTAATTAATGTTTGTAGGGGTTGAGAGAGACAAGTAAGCTTTTGGATTTGTGTCCTGATCATAAAATGGATTTGCCTGCATGTAAGCTTTGTATATTGTGTGAATAATGAAGTTTAATTCCGGATTTCCCACTTGGATCGAACTACAAAATTAATGCTCTTATTTCTTGTTGGGTTTCTCTAATATTTCATTTGTAGTGAGATTATACATGAACAAATTCCCAGAACTTGGAAAATAATTCTCTTCAGAACTTCATTAATCCACATACTTCTATGGCATATTAATATATGAACTCCATCATCAACTTTGAAAGTAGACTTATAAGTAACCTCTTCTTCGCAACTCAAGTGGGCAGTGTTGTTGTCCACAAATCCCTTCACGGCCTTGTGCCTCTTGGAAAACTCAACACTCGAATCACCAGGGAGAACTGCAAAGTTGGATTGAAATCACCTGATAGATTATGAAGAGCCAACTCCATAATCCCACAGTTATGCTCTTTTTTCCCCATGATTGAAATCATAATAACAATAACAATGATAATATAAAATGTGAGAGAAATATTCTTCGAAGTGGGGATTTATATGTTTGTTGGTTGGACATGTTTGGCATTTTTAGAGGTCGGGGAACCTTTAATCTTCCTTAAAACGGTGAAAAAGCATTAATTTTTGTTGAAAGTTTTTGTCTATAGTGAGTTAAATTATACTCAAAACTAGATTTATGGATTTAAAAAGCCCAAGATTTTGAATCTTATTATTATTTTTGTTTTATGATATGGAAAAATCGCTCATCCTCTAACTAAATTACCCAATATAGTAGAAAACGAGACTTATCAAAGCGAGCATAGTTGAACGATAATTTACATATACCTCACCTCAGATGTACTAAAAAAAATGAAATCTAAACTCGTAGACTGGTGGTCAATAATTAACCTTGTGACAACTATGCCACACCCCGCCAAGTAGTTCATGCCACAAACTTTACTGTTATTATTTATTCTATTCAAGAGTCGAAAAATTAATTTCAACTTAAGAGTAAATGGGCATTAAATGTAGGACAGCAGAAGAAAAGGCCAATAATATCTATTTACAAGAAGTTATAAGCATAGGCCAGCCTACCCTTGCGAGGAGGGCACTTTCCTCTTGTTTTCTTAAATTTATAAATTAGGGATTTTTTTTTCATACTGTTAATTTTGAAATTTAAAATTTCAAAATAATACCACCCTAGATTTATTAAAAAAAATAATGCTCCAAAAAACTTCTCTACCATTTTGAATCCAAAACCTTCAGGTTAAAAACAAAAATCTAGCCACTACACCAAACTGGCTATATTGCCTAAAAAATGGTATATATAGATGATAACACCTAATGGAAATTTTCTTTTTCTTTTTTTTTGGGAATATTTGGGGTAGTTAAAAATAAGTTTCAAAATTAACCATATTAAAAAGAAAATCTTACAAATTAACATTTAGGAGAAATTAGCCCAAAAAGAAAGATAAGTCTCTTAAATAGAGAAACTTTTATTAGGAAGGTACAAAATCACTTTTGAGAGAAAGACTCTCTCTCACTTCACTCACTTCCCTCATTTTCATTTTCACTTCTTAACGTGCGAGGATATCTTTCCTATAATAATTTTGGAGCCTAAACAAATAGATCTTTCTAAAAGAAACTATTCTAGATACTTTTTAACCTTTGATTCTTATACAAAGAAATTCTATAGAATTTCTTGGAGCCTAAAGAAAAATTAAGATATATATTTCTAAAGCATTGCTTTTAGATATTGATTTACAATCTAAGATAAAGATAAATATAGAGAGAACTATTTTTACCACTCAACTCCTAATTAGGCACAAATGTATGCTTTTCTGTTTCAATTTTATTAATCCAGAAATTAGAGAATCAACAACAGGAGCAAGCTAAGGCAGCTGACAGTGACACTATTTTGACTACAATTTCATACTTTCTTGCCTCTATTGTTTAGTTTGACGTGCAGATACGAACAATCGGACTTGGACTGTGGTCTTTAACCAACAAAATATGCTTTTAATTTATATTTAATTGTACGTGTCCGAGCTTAGGTAATTGACACCTACCTCCCATAAAAAAGTTACGAGTTCAAAACCTCCTCCCCTATGTTATATTAAAAGAAAAATATCTGTGCATGTTCCTGAAAACTGGAAAGGTAAGTTAAGAACTTACTATTTACCCTTTTTCCATCAAGAATCAAACGTTGCAACAAAAAAATCACTTTCTGGGTCAGAAAATCTATCAACCTAAAAGAAAAAGGTTCATCCTTATTATTCGACAAAAATATAATCATACCTTTTTTAAATAATTCTATATCTAACTTGAATGATAATAAATTTTCAGTTTTTCCGTATGCTAAAATGAGAAGATGATACTAAAGGTAATTAGATTGTTTAATTTGATTTCATCCTAACCGATATGTTTGGGAGAAATTCAATGTTGTACTTAAAACTCATCATCATTTGATTTTAAAACGTAGAAAACTTTTCCAATAATCATCACAGAACAAAAATACAATCTCAATATACTAGCTAGTAAGAAAGTCTAGAGACAAATTTCACATGCATCGATGAGAGAGAGAGCACATGGTAGTTAGGAAATTTTGATTGGAAGAAAAATTGTGATCATTAGAACTTATCAAATGCTATAGCAATCCTGGAGACAGCAGAAACAATGGTAGTAGCCACAAGTATAGTTCCACCAACAGGAGCCGCTTCTGGAACCACCAGCACCAAAAAACTGGCGGCGGCTGCGGCCACCGGAGCGCCATCGGCTGCGCTCTTCCCCACGACATTTTCACTGCGCGTTATCCTTCTCCACCTTTTTGCTTTAGTTTTTTATTTTTGATGGCCGATTTATAAAGCAAGGGAAATGAAACTATGGATACAAATATATGTGTGTACGTTTTTAATTTACATTTAATCCTGTGAGAGTTTCCATGCTGAAAATTGGAGGCATGTTTTCAAATTGGCCTCGATACTCATACGTAAGGCGTGTGGGAAATTGAAGCATATTTTTGGAAGTTGAAACTACTCTCTACCAATTAAGCTAATTAACTTATTTGCTTTCTATATATGCATATACTTTTAGGATATTCAATTATTAATGAGTTTTATCATCAACTTAAATCAGGTTCACAATGTCAAGCAAAAGATATACAACTCACAAATTTTTTATAATTTTTTTATAGGAGATCACCAGTTGAGTTGATCTCAAGTTGGGAAATATAAGTTATGGAGAGACTAGATATTTTCGAGTGACGGAGAATGAATTAAGTTTAGATTGATTCTAATTTCTTGATTCTCGTTTCCCTTGGAATAAATTCCCATAAGCTCAAAGGGACAACCATTATATCATTATTATTTACTTCTTAAATTATAAAAATAAGTGTCCGGTTATTTAATTTAATTCTATTCTCATGAATTGGAAGAATTTCGTCTACTTAAATTCATCATCATCATTTTTCTCTCGAAAGGTAAAAAATTAACCAAAAATCCATCATACCATCATACAACCATAATAAAATCATATGGTACTAAAATTATAATTGCACTTCAAGAGGTTTAAGTATGGAAAGTCCAAGAACAAAAGTCAAATTCTATAAACAATATAGAAAGAGAAGAGAACAGGTGTACTTAATTGCCAATCTCATTAGAAAGACAATATAAATTCTCCAACACAGATTTTATCAATTGCAAAAAATAATGAATATTATGGAGGAGAAAGTTTAAGAATAATGTAATTTAAAAAACTAATTACAAAAATAATGTATATTTAAAATAAATAACAAAATAAATGTAGTATTAATAAAAAATTACAAAACTAAGTTATACATTCAAACTATTGACAAAAATAGGTTAAATCGCATATAATGGATGCGATTTAGGTGCCAACATGACATAGATGAGGTGGACGTCGAAGAATGACTCAGCAATGGAAAGTCGCGTACATTATTTATAGAAGTCACGTACATTGTACGCAATTTCTATTTATGGAAAGTCGCGTACAATGAACGCGATTTTCATTTAAAATATTTATATATTTATTTATTTAGTCTTTTATTTATTTTACGAATAAAATATTTTATTTATTTTCTATTTTCTATATTCTATATAGTTTTTATTTATTTTACCTATAAAATATAATTTATTTTATTATAAGTAAAAGCATACGTTCGAACATATTTTTTCAATAAATCTTAGATCATACTAAACATTACAATAATTTATATAAAAAGAATCACATGTATGTAACGGCAACAAACAATTGAAAATAACAAGGAGTTACAAAAGAGAAAATGAAATTAAAAAAAAAAAGTAAAAAGAGAACATTAAATTAAAAAAAAAGGTTAAAAGAGAAATTGAAGAAAAAAAAGTTAAAAAAACGTTGGAAGAGTAAAAATTGAAAATAAAAAGAAGTTAATAGCGAAAATGAAAGGCCAAACTGCCACAGCAGGGATAAGGACCTTTATGACCAATGCTGCAAAATCCTTAACATTGAATCAAATGACAAAATAATATATATAGCATATATAACTCGCAGCAACTGCATGCCCAATGTCGTGGGCATGCTTGTCCAGGGTGTGTTACCCATGGCCGCATGTCCAAACCATCCTCACCACTCGCTTTTCTTTCATGTCTTTAAAGCTTTTTAGTGTAATTTTCTTGTATCGGGTTTTTGGGGTTGTAGGTGGAATTTGGCCGAGCGGCTTTGCAACTAGGTGTGTATTAGTAAGATATGTAAGCACGCCAAATTTCAAGCCAATCGGAGTTCACACGGGCCCTGTAGGCCACCGAGTGACTCCTCGCC